GGCGATGGCGCTGAGATTATAGCACAGGGCTGATAGAGATCACAGTGATGGTGCTGAGATGATAGCACAGGGTTGATACAGCTCACAGCGATGGCACTGAGATGATAGCACAGGGCTGATAGAGACTACAGCGATGGCACTGAGATGATGGCACAGGGTTGATAGAGACTACAGCCATGAGACACCAAAGGAATCAAAGCTTTTTTCCTCTTGGGGACCTAGAGAGTCAGGAGATCTGACTGCAGGTTTTCAGGGGTTCTGTGCAGCTGTATATATGAGAGACTGAGAGAGAGGGATGGCCTGACTAGGAAAGACCAGACTCACACTGCAATGGTAGGAGACACACAGAGTGCACACAGAGTGTACACACACACACACACACACAGACTGTACACAGAGTCACAGAGTGCACACACAGACTGTACACAGAGTCACAGAGTGCACACACACAGACTGTACACGGAGTCAGAGTTTACACACAGACTGTACACAGAGTCACAGAGTTTACACACAGACTGCACACAAAGTGCACACACAGTGCACACACAGTGCACACACACAGAAAGATTGAAGACAGTCACAGAGTTTATACACAAACTTTACACAGACACACACACAGACTACACAGACACACAGAGTGCACACACAGACTGTACACAGAGTGAACACACAGAAACACACACATACACTACACAGAGTGCACACACAGACTGTACACAGAGTGCACACACAGACTGTACACAGAGTTCAGACACAGACACACACATAGACTGTACACAGACACACAGGCACATACACACAGACTGTACACTGAGTCACAGCACAGATTGTACATAGTGTACACACAGACACACAACGTGTACACACATACATACAAGGTATACACACAGACTGTACACAGTGTACACACACACTGTACACAGAGTGTACACACAGACACATACACAGACTGTATGCAGAGTGTACACACAGACTGTCCACAGAGTGTACACACAGACACACATCCAGACTGTACACAAAGAGTACACAGAGTGTACACACAGACACACACACAGACTGTACACAGAGTGTACACACAGACTGTACACA